AAAAAAAAAAAAAAAAAAACCTAATATTTGTCTTCAAGAGCTTGAGAAGTTCGAAGATGATGGGATATGGATGACCTGAATAAGTGAAATGCAAGAAAATGTTGGCAGGAGTGTGTACTTGAAGGCTATAAACACATGTGGACTAATGGATTAGTTCGGTGCACGTTGATATAGATCCAAAAGTGTGATGAAGGCTTGAACAGGGAAAGCTTCAGGAAAAAAAATCTTTCCCTGAGACGACTCAGCTTTCCAAAGTCCTCAGACATGTGACTTCAAATTACGCCAGGCATTATGACATTTACTGTTTAAACTATCCATTGTTTTTTATTCCTTTTCCTTCACTAGTGCACGTTTAAAAATCATGCTTTCTTAGCATCAAATATATGAACATCTGAAATCATTTTATATGAAATCATTAGGGTAAAGTGAGGACAATGATATATTTCAGTCCAGACTAGAGTGAAAAGAAAAAGGAAAGAAAAAGTTTGAACCAGAGAATAGGGCTAGATGGGACCTACAGAGGTATATAAGCCTCCCAAAGTAATTCTAGTTGGAGCAGATTGCGCAGTGACCTCGACCTGTTGAGTTTTCAGCATCTCCAAGGATAGAGACTCCACAATCTGGAAGGTTGAATGTGGATGGAATAATTAAATTATATTCCTGTATTCAGATAATCAGGGAATTGTTGAGGTTAGATGGGATATCTTGGACCACTGTCCAATACACTATCAAATGCAACAGTATCTACATCACTGAGCAACCCGCTCCAGAGTCTCACCCTGAACAAAGTAAAAACGTGTTTTGGATTTGATTTCCTTGCACACAGACCAAACCTCTAAAGGATTTCAGTAAATTTTACAATATACTCTGAAAACTTGCTGGCACTGCAGCCTGTCCACTCCTCCAGGTCATTAATGAAGTCATGATGGGCCCAGTCTTGACTCCGGGGTCCACCACTGGCCTCTAGAGGCCCTGGGTACTGCTGACCCCAACCTGCAGAGCCTGGCACTGAGCGATTCAGCCCAGGCACCTTTCAAACCATCTACCAATTTGTCTAACACCTGCATTCTCTCTGGCAAAACCTTAGCATTTAATCTTACAAGACTTAAAGAAATTGCACAATCAGCCTCCACAGTTAT